TATATATAACTGTTACTATACATTAATTTTTTTTCCCATTCTGTTCATGATAGTTGTTAAAAAAAATCCTTTTACTTTTAATAAAGTAAACAAATATGTTGACTCCATCTTCTCTTATTAAATGAGAATTAAACCTTTTCCCTGCTGCAATCCTGAAAAAAGCCACAAATAGGACAAATGTGACCAGTTCTGCAGATCTGATGCTATTTTGTTTTAAAGCTGTTTTTTATTTTTTTTTTAGATGTTTCAGACTGGTTTTAAACAATGACACAGCACCAAAACACCTTTAGTAAGGGTTTGTAACTATATTCTCTTAGCAAATGACTCCGGTCAGTTTGTGCTCCTTGGACTCCTGGACCTTACCGTTGCTTTTGACACTGTTGGCCACAGTATCCTTATATCGCGGTTAGAACGCTGGGTTGGGATTGCTGGTGCAGCATTAGAGTGGTTTTGTTCTTATCTGAGTGACAGGAGCTTTTGTGTTAATGTTGATAATATTTTATCTGCTTCAGCGACTCTTTTCTGTAGGGTTCCGCAGGGCTCGATTCATGGACCCCTTCTGTTTTCAGTTTCTGCTCCTTTTGAGGTCTATCCTGAGGAAACAGTCTTTTTATTGTTATGCTGATGATTGTCAGATTTATTTGCCCTTAAACCCAATAGTTCATGAACAATTCACCCTCTGTTAAAATGTCTTTATGACATCAAGGCATGGATGGCTTCAAAGTTTTTAAGTTTTAACGATGAGAAAACTGAAGTTATTGTGTTTAGCCCTCTACTGCTGTCTCTGTTCCTGTAAACCATGACTCTCTTCAGCCATATCTTCAGCAGTCCGTTATGAATCTCTGGATGGTTTTAGACTGATTTTAAGTTTAATAAACAGATTAACTCTGTTCTACAAAGAAGTTTCATCCAGTTAAGGCAGATGAAGCTTAAGTCAGTGTTGACCAGATCTGACCCTGAAAAAATAGTCCATGCCTTCATTACAACCCGGCAGGACTACTGTAACACGTTTTATTTTGGGGTCAGTCAGGTCTCCCTTTCAGTTCAGCTCATCCAAAATGCTGCAGCTCCGCTCTTAAATGGAACTCATAGGTTTGATCATATTTCACTAGTTTTGTCCTCCCTTCACTGGCTCCCTGTACGTATCAGAATAGATTTAAATTTTTTCCTGTTGAACTTTAAGTGAATAAATGGTCTTGCACCCTCATATCACTCTGAGCCACTTTAACCATATGTTCCTTCTCGAGTGCTGAGATCATCTGATCAGCTGTTTTTGGTTGTACAAAAAAAACGGTTCAAGCTCAGAGATCGGGATTTTTCAGTTGTGGACCCTAAACTCTGGAACAATCTGCCCCCCCAACATCAGCCAGGACACTTCACTTCCTGTTTTTAAAATCTTTTTAAAAAACATCTGTTTTCTCTTACTTTTGACACAGTGTGATTTGATTTTGGTGTTTTATTGTTTTGTGTTATGTTTTTTTTTTAATGCTTTTAATTATTATTTATTATTATTATTGAAATTACTGCCATTGTTTTTTATTGTTAAGCACGTTGGGAACAGCTGCTGTTTTTAAATGGGCTTTATAAATAAATTTGACTTTTTCTAACAGACACCGATCATCCTAGTTTAAGTTTGTGCTCTGGTTCTGAATACAGTTGGATAGTAATGGAGGTATTTAATTGTATCTCTTTAATAAGTTAAATGCTTTTTTCATAAAGTAGTTGAATGCAGAAAATTAGGCTTAACATTTTGTACAAAATGTGTTTAGTTGAGGTAATATGTAGATGGTACAGTAAAACCTTAAGGAACAAATACATGGGATAATCAAAACTTGATTTTGTACATTCTCCCTCTACTTTCATGCTCTAGTCAGAAATACAAGTTTCTTCTTTATGAAAAAGGCTGTGGAAAAGTAGGGCGTGGAGGGTCCTGCAGCACCCCCTTATGGATGCCAATGAGGACAAGCAGTTAAATAATTATTTGAAAAAATGAACACATATTTAATTAGTGCTGCAATTGTTATAATTTTAACAATAGTTCAATATTTAATATTCAATTCAGTTGATTTATATAGCACCAAGTCCCAACAGAAGTTGTCTCAGGGCATTGAACAAAAACATTCACATACATTCAAAAGCCAATAAATAAAAGTTCTATCTATCTGAGGAAGGCTATACATTTAAGGATGCATAAAATTAGTAAAATCAGGGGCGAGCGCCTGATTCAAATAAATCTAGAACAAATGATGACAAAGTTCACATTGTAGTAGCAGATTTGCATGAAGATGGTGACAATGCAGCATTACCACAACTGCCTCTCTTCTGCATCACACACTGTTCCTGGAGGTATATCGTGTGAAACCGACAGAAAATGTGAAAAGATTGTGAAGAATAGAAGATTATGATGATCGTGAAGTGCAAGAAGCTGCAGCTTCACAACCTGAGGTGGATCGTGATGAATATGAAGAGTTACGATAAATAGCTCTCATGCTTAGGAATGAGATAATCCTGAAGGAATCCAGAACTAGGTCATCTGATGAGTCCAGTTTCGAGGACTTTCACAATCCCCCAAAGTGTCAATTCTTCCTGGCCTATCTTCTCTTTGGTTCACAGTCAGTATCTGAAGTGTGCAACCCAGAAGTTACAAAGACGGGAGATGGAGCATGCCAGTTTCTTGTTGAAAATATGAGTGACAGACAAGTTGAGCACAAATCAAAGACCACATCACAGTTCAAACAAATAGTTCAGACACTCCGGGTTCCCTCTCACCATCCATTCCAGAGTGACGAACTAAAACATTACATGTTACAAATCTCTGAGACAGGAAGTGTTGCAGCAAATGGTAGGGACAGGGGGTTTCTGTTTCCAAATTTCACCAGGAGATATAACCATCTGGTTTGTCATTGATAAAACTGATCTTACAAAAGACACGCCGACTGACCAGAACACCTTCCAAAGGACTGTGGTGGGGCTCAACCAGTGTGAAAAGACTGATGGGCAACCAATCAACACTTCACTTAAAATTCCAGAGATGTCATCCCAGGAACCTCTGTCGTTCATTCTCACACGGAGTGAGAGTTAAGGCAAAGAGTAGAAAGAGGCATGTACTGTCAACATAGGCAGCCAGCCAGTTACTTCTTATATGTCTCAGACAAGTTCAAGTTGCAGGCAGGACAATACTGAAGGAGTTGTACCATTGTTAGAACATCTCCTGCAGACTACAGTACATTATATACTGCACTTATGCTGACCTAGGACATTTCAGTATATGTTGCTGGACTGGAGAGAACTGTCATGACATTGGAGCTGGACCTGTACCAGCAGGCTCTATGGAATTGGACACCAGAACTAGGTCCCCTGCACTGGGACCCTGCATATTGTGCTTGCCCTGCTGCATCGTCTTGGAAAAACAGTGGACGAGAGTGGACTTGATGCTTGTACCATTGAGGCAGGCATATACACATCAGCAAGTCTTTGGAGGATCTTTGGAGGGAAGGCCTACAAAAGAGGTATTGAGTTCCACATTATCACGTACATGACAGGGTTAATGGTGAAGCTCAAGGCCACCGACAGTCTTGCCAATGATGGTATCATGGCAAAGTGTTCTGCTTTATGATAGGCTCTCCATGATCATTCCCCCTGCATGATGGAAAGTTCTACCTGGCACCTCCTGTTATATGATCCTCACTCCTCAGAAATGGCAAAGTTCCTTGATGAGTACCTGGAGCAGATCAACAACCTGCTTCATCTGATAAATGCCTGTCGTTCAGCAGATTGGGAGGTTTCCTGGCAGCTCAAGAGAAAAACACAAGGTTCTTCTTTGCAAGGGATTTGCTGAATTATGCACTGATGAGGACGATGATGTCTACCTACAACAAGGTGATCCTACACCTGAACCTGAACATCAACAGGTTATTGATTGTAGTCAAAAACAAAATTCTAGACAAATATATCATGGCACTTTCAGATGGAAAACGGTGGCAACTTTCATATTTCTGGTGGCCATATTGGATTGTCAACATGGGTACCACTCCATTATCATTTCAATATATACCATGACATTCTTCATGTTCAAAAACATAGGTTTAGACACTAAGTTTATGATTGTGTTTAACTTAGTTAGAAGGTCATTATGTAGCATATTCAACCTGGAGGCAGCCATTTTGAAAAGGGGTTCATAAAACAGGGTTGACGAGTGTAAAAATTGAACAGGCTACTTTGACTCCAACCATGCCAACAAAACAAATAAATGAATTTGGACAACAGAAATGACAAAATTACATATGACACCAGACTAGTAGCAGATCACATGCACAAGATCAAGAATCTAAATGAAGACAAACATTAAACCCAGACTATAAAAATATATGTCACAAAAATGAAGACAGTTAAAAAGTATAAAATGAAGGACAAAATGTCAATTATTTTAGCCAGTTTTCTGAAAAATCCAGGCTGCGTTGTTTCCTTTTCCTGACTTCCAGTCTTCTGCTGAGCCGATTTCAATTCATCCAGGATGGATTTCAGGAGATCAGCGTCACGAGGAGGATTCTTTTCTGATTTGAAGTGCCCGTTCTCTTCAACAGCTGGAGACTCTGCGTCAGAAAGAAAGAAAAACATCTTATTGAGTACATTTTGTATCTAAAATGTAACACAATCTAAAAATGATTTACTTTTGTCATCATGAGTAAATGAGACAAACAAACCTTTGTGAACTTCCAGCTTGATGTTAACATCAGCATCAGCGGAGCGTTCTGTCTTTTTCCCATAAACATCATCCAGATGAATTAAAAAGCTCACCAGCATGGTCTCAAGAACACCGAGCCACACCAAGGTGAACACTGAAACACAGAGCTTGGCTACAATAAAAGCACAGGTGCATCAGAGCTCCGAGGTTTGTTACTGAACCAGCAATAAAGATGTTAAATTGTAAAGATTATTTTTTGTGGATACTCACCAATTATGGGCAGATTGACTTCGGTAGAGGGCAAAATGTCTTTAAGAATCAGCAGTAAAAGGGAGATGGACAGCAGCACTGTCACTTTGAAGTTTAACTTTTCACCTCCGGACTCAGGAATAAAAAAGGTACCCAAGTCCAGCACCAGTAAATACACCAGCGGGAGGATGAAATTGATCACATAAAGCAAAGGCCTCCTCTCAAGTGTAACCTGTAAGAGCAAACCTATCAGATAGATTTAAAGTACAAAGAACGTACTTACTGTACAAATATGTTCTTACCATGAATACAAGTGCGCTATGGCATGTGTGCTCATTGGTGAAATTTGTGCTGACAATTTTTATTTCCTTCAGGTTCCATTCTCCCTGGGTGATCATGTACTGCTCTGACAGTTCCGTCAGGGCCGAATCATTCTGGGCTGAGTCGAGTAACAAAGATTTCACTGTGCAAAGGACAAAAAAGGGTTAAACTTTAACATGTGACAAAATGACACAAGCTGCCGATATTCTGGTGTTTACCGTCAGCGCCCATGGATAAAAATGTAATGTTGCACTTTTGTACATCGAAGGGGAACTTGAAGAGATTAAATTGGCAGGTGAAAGTCAGTAGCTGGCGAGCAAATGTGACTATCAAACCGTTGGGATGCAAGACGGCCCACGGATCTTCAGCGATAAAGCCGCTGTCAGAGGCACTGAGGGGAACACAAGAACAACATTTAGTCTCTGACGTTTACCTTTATTTTGACAGTTCAAACAGGTCAACGATTGGAAGCAACGAGATACAAAACAGCATTTAGACTATCTTCCTTTTTGTTTAGAGCTCCTCAGATTTTAAATGGTGTACAAACAGAACCAAAACTGTTACCGTACTTTCCACTGTGCACGTCACATCAGTCCAAATATGTCTTATAAAGTGGAAAAACCATAAATATGTTGCATCTATTATTCATCACTGCTGACGCGTCGCGTTTGTTGCGCGTCACTGCTGACCACCAAGAAACGTGGGCCGGTGTTGTGCCAACAATCGAATGGCTGCCAAATGGCGGCCGCGGGAGCGTGCACGGGAGGACTTTAACAAGAATTTAACGAGATTAACACTTAAAAACAATTATTTGTTTGCTCGAAATTATAGCAAAAGTGTGTCTCAGTCTAACTTTTCCTTAATAAATGCACTTTGAGGGTAAAATCAGGTACATTTCAAACGCCGATTCACGGCTGCGGGAGCGTGCAGAGGGACGACTCGCTGTGCATTTCTTCGAAATTTAACAAGATAACCACCTAAAAAAATTATTTCTTTGCTCGACATTATAGCAAAGATGTGTCTCAGTTGAACTTTTCCTTAATAAATGCATTTTAATGGTCAAATCAGCTACATTTCGACTGGGCGGCACAGAAAAATGCAGCTGATTTGACGGTTGCTACATGAGCTCCGGAGCAAGATGAACGTGGCTTGGTATGGCAAGCCAAGTGTCTCATTAATAACCACTTTTATCTATTAATGAGACACATGGCTTGCCATATGGCTTGTACACCCTCTAGTGGCTAAAAGTGGTAGTGTTCAATATTTTCTGTGTCAGAATGAATGAAATCGTCAGATCTCAGCCAAAAATTGGGTTATAAATATGGGGAAAAAACATTAAGTCGTTTCGCTGTATATGTCGCAGGCATGTTAATTTATGCAAAAAACTGCGACTTATACAGCAAAAAGTACAGTAAGTGACTTTCAAGTTTTGCATTCTTAGGTAAAATAAGATCTAACAGCTTCTACAACAAAAACATGACATTTATCTTCTAATACATGTATTCTTTTTTTTCCCATCTGTCCTTATTTGTATTTTTTTGTTTTGTTTTATTAAATGCTTAGTTTCTTTTTATTGTTAGTTTTACAGATGGATTTGTGTGCTGTTCCCTGTTTAATTTTCAAAATAAAAGCTTAACTGATCATGGTTTAGTTAGTTTGATTTATTCAGACCTTCCGAGTCTGTAAAGTGATAAACACCTACTCTTCTTCGATGATGACAGCCGGGATCCAAAGCATCGATTTGGGAATAAACAGCTCGTCTATCCCACAGAAGTCAGAAGAATTCCACGTTAGGAAATCATTCGTCCAGTACTGAGAAAAAGAAAAGTTGGCTAATTAAATTATTTTTGATGCAAAATGTAAAAAGGTAGTAAATTTTTGGACAGCGAAACATTTACTAAAACAAAACCGATGTGTCTGTGGTACCTTTGACATCCAGATGTGACTCGTGACCGTTTGAGACTTTTCATCCTGGAAACGTCACATTTACAATTAACTCATTGTATCTCCTTTGAGTGCCAAAACTTAGATTTTTGTATTTAAATAAAGGCACAGGATCTTCATATTTAATGAATATCATATCCCTATGACTAGTGCTGATGTGTCAGCAGTAGCAGGAGGTGGAAAACAGCTATCCTGATGTGCGGTCCCCGTTATATTACAACAGTTTAACTTTGAGAAGAGGTGATGTCAGGAAAAGGGTTAATCCTCGCTTCCAGTGATGTCAGACATTGTTATCGCAAAAAATATGAAATATTAATAACTTTGTGTCAGGAGGGAGCTTTTGCCACAGGTGGAGGAGTTTTAAACATCTGGCCTTTTTGTTGAGTGATGGTAGGATGGAGCAGGAGATGGATGGACGAATTGGAGTTTCATCCTTAGTAATGAGTGTGTTGCTTTGGTCAGTCGTAGTGAAAAAAAAGAGTTGAGTTGAAAGACAAAGCTCTGAATTTACTGGTTCATCTGCATTCCAACCCTCACCTGTGCTCGTGAGGTTTGGATCATGTCTGAAAGAACAAGATCACGGCTACAAGAGGCCGAAACGAGCTTCCTGCGTAGGGCGGTCGAGCCTTAGAGATGGGGTGAGGAGCTCGGTCATCTGGGGGGAGCTCAGAGTGGAGCTGCTGCTCCTTTGCATCAGGAGTCAGTTAAGGTGGTTTGAGAATCTGATCAGGGTGCCTCCTGGACACCTCCCTTTGGAGGTTTTATGAGCATGACCCACTGGGAAGAGACCCCAGGACAGACCCAGAACTCCGCAGGGATTATAAATCCTCTGTTCTGGGAACGCCTTGGGGTTCCCCAGGAGGAACTGGAGAGAGGGAGGTCTGGGTTTTTCTCCTGGACCTGTTGCCTCTGCGACCCGACTAGAGATAAGCAGAAGTCGATGGAGATCATCAATCAGCGAGAGAAAACATTTTTCTTTCTCTCAGTTTTGTGCCTGCTGTTTGTGACGGAGTCATATTAAGGTTGTGCTGAGAAGACGAACACACTTTCCTCAAATCAGATGCAAAATAAGTGAAAATTGCTCACACCTGCTGAACAGGACGACTGCGTGTGGAGCAGAATGCATTTGGTGCTTTTTGCTTTGTGAAAATGATGCGGAGACAGAGCAGCAAATGCAAATAAGCTAAAGGTGGAGCAGAAAAGACATGTTGTACAATCTTAGCAAACCTGCTCAAACATTTTATCACCTCAAAACTAAACCATCCCCTAATAGTACAGTTTAACGGAAAACACGTTTTCTTTTCATGAATCCCCATAATATGAAATAAATGTAATAAAGCTCAGTCCCACACAGAGGACACTTACCAAACCTAAAATGCCGTACACCAACATGTCCAACTTGACCAGTGTGGGCTCGGTCCAGTTCTTTACGGGTCGCATGACTTCTAGAAGTGTATTTGATGAAGTCAAGTTCAGATGATTCAGTAGATCGTAGTATGAGCAGTCTGAAAACTGACTGCTGGAAGCCCCTGCAGAGAGTGAACTCCATCTTTAGACACAGAACCTGATCAAACAAAAGCTTCTATTTAACCTTTTTAATACGTCTTATATGCATTTATAATAAAAATTATTAACTTACCTGTCAAAGCAAGAAACATTAGAGTCCTTAGAGCGGCCATGGCTGTTTGTCTCCAGCTAGATGTGATTAAAGCCTTTATAAACTGCAGCGCTGCTTACAGAAAGACAACGGTTCAAAGGAGACGAGGACTGATTGGATGTTCTCAGAACTTCTTTGTTTTTGTGATCTGCACTGATAAACCGTAAATCAGCCAAACGGTTCAATTGTTGATGAGCAGCTGCAGGAAATGAGTTTCAGTGTGCATGAAGCTCATGTTACCAGTGTCAACAAAACCAACACATCACTGTGGAGGTTTATATATATACATATATATATATATAGTACGTATATTCAAAAATCTTTTGAAATCACAGTGATCGACTTTAAAGATGTTCCAGGCTGTAAAAGCAGACGTATACATTTTTTAAATCTGAGTTTTTCTGAATGACAGCGAGCATATTAAAACATTTCTGATTTCCCAAAATTTCAATTTCTTGTTAAAACTGCAGCGGATTGCTCAGTCTGTCGTATCTGTGCTTTTATCCAGTCATTTTATGGTTTATTTTTGTCTGTTGTGTTTTCCTGTTCAGTTAGATCTTTTGTGGGTTTCATCCATCCATCCATTTTCTTCCGCTTATCCGGGGTGGGGTCGCGAGGGTAGGAACGTAGATCGACTGGTAAATAGAGAACTTCACCATTTGGCTCAGCTCTCTCTTCACCACGACAGACCGGTATAGCGCCCGCTTCACTGCAGACGCTGCACCTATCCACCTATCGATCTCACGCTACATTTTTCCCTTGTTCGTAAACAAGACCCCGAGATACTTGAACTCCTCCACTTGGGGCAGGACCTCCTCCCCGACCCGGAGAGGGCACTCTACCCTTTTCGGGTTCAAGACCATGGCCTCTGATTTGGAGGAACTGATCCTCATCCCGGCCGCATCACACTCGGCTGTGAACCGCTCCAGTGAAAGCTCTAGATCACAACCTGATGAAGCCAACAAGACCACATCATCTGCAAAAAACAGAAAACATTTTTAGAGATGTTCTGGTGCAGAACATCCCCACTAAGTCAGGAGCCAGGCAGAAGTAGAAATCTCACACAAGAAAGGTCCTGGAGAAATGTGGATATCTTAACTGGACCTTCCTGACAGCAAAGAACAAACTCAAAAAGGACTCCAGCCAGTCATCAGGTGAAAAGGAGGAACCCAGACCCAGACCAGTGCAGGAGTTTCAGAGAAACTGAGACGTTTATTTTCTAAACATAACGTCCCAGTGACTTTTCAACTCCAAAATACATTAGGGCAAAGACTGGTTCATCCCAAAGATCCAGATCAGTCTTACATCGGGGAAACTAAACAGCCACTGCCCAACTCATCCATCCATCCATCCATTATCTTTACCCGCTTATTCCATTTTGGGTCACGGGGGTCGCTGGTGCCCATGTCCAGCAATCACTATGCGAGGGGCGCGGTACACCCTGGACGGGTCGCAAGTCCATCACAGGGCCACACAGAGACAAACGAGACAAACAACCAGTCACTCTCTCACTCACACCTAGGGACAATTTAGAGTTACCAATCAGCCTAACATGCATGTTTTTGGTCTGTGGGAGGAAACCGGAGTACCCGGAGAAAACCCGCGCATGCACGGAGAGAACATGCAAACTCCACCCAGAAAGGCCCCTGGCCCGGGGTTTGAACCAAGGACCTGCTCGCTGAGAGGCAGCAGCTCTACCAGTTGCGCCACCGTGCTGCCCTCATTCATTCATTCAACCTTTATTTAGACGGGTTAATCCCATTGAGCCTCGGGGACACATTTACAAGAGACCTGAAGGAACCCAAAAGGATGGCCCAGCACAGGAGATCAACATCATCAGGACAGGACTCTCTGGTCTACACTCATCTCCAGGTCAGAGGTCACTCTTTCAGGGATGAAGATGTTCACATCCTTGAAAGAGGAATGATGGTTTGAGAGAGGAGTGAAGGAAGCCATCTTTGTGCAGAAAAACTGTCCATCATTAAACAGGGGCGGAGCCTCCGTATTCAACTGCCCCCCTCTTACAATGCTGTTATTGTTAGTATGACTCAGCCTCCTGTGAATAGCAAGCAGCCATCAGGGTGCTAATGACCCATTAGGCTCCTTTATCACATGAACTAGTTCTGGATGTCAACAACAAACTGGTTGATCCACTATGAGAAGGAGTTATTTATAAAATTGAGTTTATTGCAGCTCTTCAGACTCAAGCAGTATTTTGGATAAAAGACTAAACGTTTCAACGATTTTTTAATTTTATTTTATTTATCCATCCAGAGGACCCGACTTAACTTTGTTAGATTCTGGTGCAAATACAAGTTTAAGCATGAATCTTTCATTAGAATGAAAAATACAAGACAATAATTTGTTTCCTTCACCAACATTTTCAGTTTATTTCTAATAAGCCCGTTTTGTTTTGATCTATAAATCTTTGATTAAATAATTAAATATTTTTCTTAAATGGGAAGTGCAATCATTAATTGTAAAAAAAACAAAGTTTTGAATCAGATGAAACAATGATTTACCAATAAAGTGTCAACAAAGCAAACTGATAAACCACGTCGTCAGATCTGCTGCATGACTGAAGATCGCACTTTGAAAACCGCCTCCTGGTCCAGCAGAGATAAAAAGTCCTGGATACTTGATTCTCAGGGGAACACGTCCCTCGGCAGCTGGAAGTCTTTGAAGGTGTAGAAGGAAATGTCTCCGTGGTCCACGACGGCGAAGACGACGGAGACGTCTCTGCTCTGAAAGGCCAGCTGCTTGACGGCTCGCAGATCAGGAACTGGACCATCAAAACTGGAACAAAACAGAAAAAAAAAACACTCGGAGCGTCAAATCTGAGAGAAACGAGCTGAAACACAAACTGGAGCAAAATGTAACTGGGAAGTTTATCAACAGGAAATCCCTTTAAAATGATACGAGTTAAAGAACATAAGAAAAAAAAAAAATCATTTAATTATTTATAAAGCACATTTAAAAACAACACGATGTTACCAAAGTGTTGAACAATAAATATTTAAATAAATATAAATGTAACATCGTCAAAGAGCTGTTCATGCCGATTGTTCGTGCTGCACGTCAGTCCTGAGTAAACGACGGTTCTGCGAGGCGTGTTTACCTGCACACACACATGCGGCTGTACGGTTTGCCCGGGCTGCTCTTCTTGAAGTCCGAAACAGAATCCGGCTGGTAAACATCGAAACAAATCCTCCACTCATCCGAAGCTTTTAACCTGAGCAGACAAAGGACATGAATTCCTCCCGAACGATGAGCTCTCCATCAACGCACCGTCCATCACCTGGTGTGCACGGCAGCAGGGCGAGGCGATGACTAAACGCTGCAGCCGACTCTTTATGGCTTTGGAAATTAAAGATTGTAAACTGTGACAGCAGCGAGACGAGCTCGCCTCTGATTCATTGTCTAACTTCAGAGGTGACTCGGAGCAGGCAGGTAGACAGGAAAGAAGGAAGGCAGGTAGGAAGAAGGAAGGAAGAAGGAAGGAGGAAGGTAGGAAGGAAGGCAGGCAGGAAGGAAGAAGAAAGCAGGAAGAAGGAAGGTAGGAAGGAAGAAGGAAGGAAGGCAGGTAGGCAGGTAGGCAGGTAGGCAGGAAGGAAGGCAGGCAGGCAGAAAGAAGGAAGGTAGGAAGGAAGGCAGGAAGGAAGGCAGGTAGACAGGCAGGAAGGCAGGCAGGAAGGAAGAAGGAAGGTAGGAAGGAAGGCAGGCAGGCAGACAGGAAAGAAGGCGGCAGGTAGGCAGGAAGGAAGGCAGGCAGGAAGAAAGAAGGAAGGTAGGAAGGAAGGAAGGAAGGCAGGTAGACAGGAAGGAAGGTAGGCAGGAAGGCAGGCAGGAAGGAAGAAGAAAGCAGGAAGAAGGAAGGTAGGCAGGCAGGAAGAAAGAAGGAAGGTAGGAAGGAAGAAGGAAGGAAGGCAGGCAGGCAGGCAGACAGGAAAGAAGAAGGCAGGTAGGCAGAAAGGAAGGCAGGCAAGCAGGAAGAAAGAAGGAAGGTAGGAAAGAAGGCAGGAAGGAAGGCAGGTAGACAGGAAGGAAGGCAGGCAGGAAGGCAGGCAGGAAGGAAGAAGGGAGGTAGGAAGGAAGGCAGGGAGGCAGGAAAGAAGAAGAAAGCAGGAAGAAGGAAGTTAGGCAGGCAGGTAGACAGGAAAGAAGGAAAGCAGGAAGAAGGAAGGA